AAGCAAGCATTTCCTTAACAAATGGGAAAAAACAAAGCACCTTTGAAAACAACTGGATGTATTTTTATGAGTGACTTCTTATTATAAAAATGCAGCTCACATCAACCTGTACTGGATGTGCGTAATAGTTTGTTAAACCTTTTTTTGTATTAAAGTGAAGAGTCTCTAAGTAAATAGTAGGATTTATTTATTTTATTTTACGATGTAAAATTCATAAATGATCTGTGAGTACTAACACAAGATTAGGTTTTAAATTAAAGTAGGTATGGAGTTTTTCTATAGCTACTGCTACTTGAAAAAGTCAGTTAGGGAAATCCAAAACTCTTGTATTTATCACCAAGAGCGTTGCTAAAATTAAGTGCCAACCCTTCAAGATAGTAATACTAATAATACTAACCTTGATTGCTGGAAAGTTGCCAGCTCTTCGTCATCCTGCAGAAATACATTATACTTGAACTGAGAAAACATGCAATTGTCCCTCCCCCTCCTTATTCCCACAAACTGGAACAGTATTAAGTTAGCATGAGTTGTGCTGAGCCAAATCCGATCTGGAATTAAGAATGCTCCAGGGCATTTTTAATAAACCGTCATTCATTTGAACTCTAACCTTCTTTAATTTGCAGAATCTGGTAATGCAGATGTATACTTCAGCCACGTTCATTTCTTTTATCTTGGTGTGAAACACTGCTGATAGGACTTGAAAATGCGAAGCTGCAGAAGAAGTAGGAAGCTTTCATTTAAAATAGACTCAAACCTAGGAATTGTAATAGTTTAATTTGCTGGTTTTCTGCCATTCTGAAGTATAAATTTAATTCTAGTACTGATTTTTAAAAAAACCTTGAAGCGCTGAGGTCAGTTAGGCTTTCTGAAAGTATGAAAAAAAAAAGGCTTTTATTAGAAAATGCAAAGGATAAAATGAGGCCGTTGTCTTGCAGAAGTGAATAAAACGCAGTTAATAATGTATTCAGGGCATAGAGTACTTGCTAGCAAAGAACATTGTATTCAATGAGGTTCTCACAGTGACCTCTGTCAAAACATGACTTCTCATTAATTCTGTAGCTGGTATCTAAAATGGCAAAGTTTGTGATTAGAAGTAGCCAGACTAGAGTCAGAGTGGGGAAAAAATGAGCAGGCTTTCAGGCACTACCTGTCTTGCCCGGCTGGCTCAGGAGCTGCCCCTCCGCAGCCTCGGGGGAGTTCAGCCCTGTCGCCCCCAACCTTCCCAAGAGGTGTTCGCTGCAAGGCAGAGGTGCCGCACCACCGGGCGGGGGCCGGGGGGGCTGCACCGCCGGGGGCGGCTCGGGAAAAAACTCCGCACTGCTTGCCCGCTGACGATGCCTGCCCTAGCTTCAGCAGGTGAAGGCATTGAAAATGCTGCTTGGGTTTTAGACTATGTTACCCATCGACACCAATTACTTTGAGAGACCTTTCTGTATTTCTCTGTAAATAAAGGTCTTCAGGATGCCTATGTGATGGTTAAAGTAGAATAGGTGCTTCGGTTTGGGAGGAAAATGGCCAGATGAGATATTCCAGGTTACAGATATGGGCATGAATACAAACTTTACCTTGATCCTTTGCACCGTAATAAGAAAAGGATGTAAATGTGTTACTTGGTCACTGTTGAACTGGTAGTTCGATAGGGGACTCAGCTCGATATCTGGAGAGTGGAAAAACTAAAAAGAAGCTGGAAGGCAGGACCATACCAGTGCTTTGGAGAGGAAAGGACTCCCGGATGCGCATTATTGTCCAGATGAAGTGTCCCTAAATGCAACAAAAGAAGTATTTGCCATAGGTCAGAAAGCTAACAGTTTTTTCACTAGTACTACTGGACTGGTTTTCATTTCTTAGAGTAGGACTAAGAGGTAGTAAATCAATATTAACCCTTAAGTTTTTCTGCTATCATTTTGATTCTAATATTAAATGAACATGTGCTTACATCAAGAATTTGGCTTATGTTTTACAATGCTTTTTTTCACCCTAGGCTTTTATATCTAGATAATATTGCCTTTAGTGTTTAAAGTTAATATATCTGCTACAGCTATATATAAACATGCTAAGAGGATTGTGTGTGTAACTTCAGCAGTCACACATTTACATTTGATAGTAGTTGATTAAAAAAAAACCAACAAAACCCAAACCAGTTTCTTCTGCACATGCCTGCCACTTGAATTCTGCTGTAGGTGTTGGTGAGACAGTTAACTAGGAAAACATACAAGTCTGAACTTGGGTCATATTCAAAAAGTGAAGGAAGAACTAGCTGGCAAATATTGTGTTGAAAGTGTAAATGAAAGTATAACTTTAAAGTCTACACGTGTTAACGATTTGTGGTTTGAAAAAGTTTTCATATTTAAATTTTTAAAGTTTTTTTCCCTCTCCTTTAAACTTTGATCTCTTTTGTCTGGTAATATAAAAGTATGTTATTAATATACATTAACAAATCCACAGCTTTGTTTTCCACAAGTCTTTAATTCCCTTAAATATTTTAAAATGTAACTGATGTGATCTATCAGAACTTAGGTGAGCATTTAGTCAGTCAACAGGTTGGGTACTAAATTCAGCTGAACCTGTAGGAAAAAGGGTGCAATGATACAAAAGATATGGAAGTGCTACTATTCTACCTTTTTACGTTCTCATCTGCCAAACAAATCTGCAAGTGTGGAGTGACTTGGTGTTTAAAGATACAGTTGCAAAGCAAGAGTCTGTATGAATTAATGACTTTGCAGTCTTGAATCCTTACTACTGTTTCCATTAATGTATGTTGCCTGGAATTAACTAACAGGCTGGAGGCTCAGCAGAAACTATAGGCAGTTTTTAAAAAACACAAGGGCAAGCCTAAGAAACAACCCAAGAAAAGAGGTAGAAATGTCATATTATGTTTTAGTAGTTGAGGCTTGTCCTGCTGGAGACAGCATGGGTTTGTGTTCTTGTACTAAAACAGAAAATGAAATATCTGCTGTTATATTAGAAATTGAGTATATTTTTAAAGAAATATGATCTGTCTCTCTCATTCTGTTTTTTTTTTTTTTTTTTTTTTTTTTTCCCCTAGGAATTAAGTGCAAATCCAGCTTTTTAATTTTTTTTTCCCTCAAGTATATTTTCTCTTTGCTGTTTCTAATGTGAAAGTTCACTAGGTAGACATTTTACAAAAATATCTAAAGCCTTCATCTTTCTTCATGGTTTGCTTTAGTGGAATCTTGCACCTGCACAGACTCTACTGCACAATTGGCGCTCCTTGCTATTTCATTTATATCAGTATTACACTGGTTTTGTTTTCTGAGTGGAAGGTTGAACATCAGTAGTTTCAATGCTATCGGTAATTCTGATTCTGCATTCATGAAATGTAACTTCTTACACACTGAAGGGTATCAGACATGTTCTAGTACTCCATTGATCTTATTAGAGTGTTTATAAAGATGCAGATGCAGCTGGTGTAGAAGGGGTAAGTAATCAGTGTATCATTTTCAAACAGAGCGTGAGTCCTCATTATAATTTGATGAAGATCGTATTATTAATTTTGCTTTACTGAACCTGTTATATAGGAGGCAATGTGTGTTCAAATTGAAACAAAAATACATGGCTTATGAACAGTTTGCATGCTAGTAGGATTTAGATGACAACAACAAACAACAATTAAGCATGAACTTGGGAGAAAATATCTTATTTTCTCTGTAGCCACACTGATTATATGACCACAGTGGAATATTGTCAGACTTTGCAATACGCCAGCAAAAGTGAACACCTTGCAATGACTTGCATAACATGAACAACTGGAATATGTCCTCTCTTCCATTTCATTTTATTTAGATGTTCTTCCTCAAGTTTTCACTAATATATAAAATGTTAATATTTGGACAAAGGAGGTAAGGAAGAAAATACAGAAAATAGGACATCCATTAGTTAAATCATAATATCTCATAAAACCAAATTAAATCTGTTGTTTACTTGCAGCTGTTAATGTAAACTGTATCATTTGCACAGGGGGAAATCATACTGGTGTCCTGGTTACCAGAGACTATTTGTGACCCTCTGGTTCTGTGAATATGATGATTCACCCCACAAGTAAATTTTCTGCTGCCAGACGGTTGTCATATGTAGTCTCCATTCTTTAGTGTGTTCTTTAAATGATGTGATAGACCATGTCATACACTTCTTTTACTTCTGAATTTTGTTTTCTGAAAAGATGAAGGTTTTGTGAATTCCTGCAATAAGCCAGTTGTCCTACATCCAGTTGACATTTACCAATGCTCAAGAAAGAGTGGGATCACCCTAACTTTCCTACATTTCATGCTTCAGAAATTCTCACAGTTGTCATGAGGAAAATAACTTGGTTGTTATTAGATCTGTAACAGACATTTAGACTTCAGAATCATAGAATAATTTGGGTTACAAGGGACCACTAGAGGCAATGCAGTCTAAACCCTTGCTCAAAGCAGGGATAATTTTGAAGTTGGATGAGATTCTCCAGGCTTCATTCAGTCAAGATCCAAAAATATGCAAGGATTGGAGAGACTACAGCTTCCCTGGGCAACCTGTTCCACACAGAAGGGTGTGCATTTTTTGGTAAAAAATCCATGGATTATTATGACCAGTTTTATATTAAAATATGTATCTATGGCTGCATCTAAAATTTCTGAAATTACTATTATGATGAGTTACCACCACCCTGAATTTAAGTAATATGAACGGTGCAGAAAATATTTATAAATTCTGCCTGTATGTGGCAGAGGCCCAGGTTAAATAGGTTTTTGGTGATCTGTGCTAGTTCTGTTTTGTATAAATGTTGCTTATTACTTGATGGATTCATGGAAATATTAAGGGTTTTTTTGTATTTGAAGACTACTTTTGTTAGTTTTTAAAACAGTTAAGATAGAAATAGATTTGAACAGTCATTTACTTAAAAGAATTCCTTTTGTTTGGTTTTTTTTTTTCCCCTGTATTTATATAGTTTGAATATTTACATATTGTAAAGAATATGGAGCTTAAAACGTTCTCTCTCTTAGGTAGAAGAGCTGATGAATGCACTGGAAAAGACTAGACAAGAATTAGATTCTACCAAAGCCCGTCTTGCCTCAACGCAGCAGTCTTTGGCTGAAAAAGAAGCACATCTGGCTAACCTGAGAATAGAGCGAAGAAAACAGCTTGAAGAAATTCTAGAAATGAAGTAAGAACATTGATTTCTCTAATTTCTAGAAAAATTAAAATTACTAATTTCTTGCCATAAGAGAAGGTGGTTTTTATTTTTCTGTTTTTTTTTTTTTCTATGTGTATATTTAAGTGTGAATCTAAGGACTTCTAATAGTTTCAAGACTGTTAAATTCCTTTTAAAACATGGAAATGCAAAAGTCTTCATTTTAGTAGTACTCAACAATTGACATGAGAATTTTTTTGAAAGGTGTCCTTTGTTGCCTGCAAACAAAATATCAGCACAGTATAACTTCCATAAGAAACTGAGGGCCTAAAGCCCCATTTTTCAGTGGGAATTCTATGTTGGAGTTTCTGTTAGTGTCAAATTCAAGGAAAGGGGTTTATTAACTTTACATGGATGGTGCAAAGTTTATTGCATTGAATTGGTTAAAAAAAAAAAACAAACCAACAAAAACCTATATGCATACACATTATCCTGTGTATATGTGTACGGAACAAAAAAGGAAGATAGACCTATAACTTAAATCTTAACTTCCTACCCACAATAAAGGTAAATATCTGTAATTATAGGATGTTAAAGCTCTGACATGATCTTTAAAATTGGCAAAAAAGAGTGAACCCGTTACGACTTGGCTAGGCTGGTAAGTGTGCATTCAACATTCAACAAAGGAAATTCACAGTTGTAATTTCAAAACTGTTTTATTGAGGGAGGAAAAAAGAACCCAAAACACTTAAGGCGTATATAACTTCAGCTAAGTTGTTGTAGATATCCTTACATTTTAAAGGAAGATAAGTAATCAGATAAAAATGGTTTTGATAATATTGTTGTAAATAAGACAATGGGGAAGCGGACACATATGCTTACTAGACTTTTATAAAAGTGGGTTTTAAGAACAGCTGCCACGTAATATAGGTGCAGAAATACTGTAATGTAAGCATGAATGTTTCCAGTGAAATCAAAAGAACTTCTGCTTTTGACTTTAATGAGGTCTGTATCTATACAGAAAAATGGGAGCACATATGAATTAGAGTAGTATGTGATATTATATTCTATAATAGATACTTCTTTTTTTTAGTTTTCTGATTTTCTTTTATATGTACATATTAATTCACCTATGATAATTCAGATGCTTAGTGCCAGTATATTTCATGCAGTCTTCTGTTTTCTGTGTAGCGCTTTGGTCTGTTTCTTTCAGTGCGTGTTTGTTTTTCATCCTAATGGTAAGATTTTTTTCTGTTTATCATAATTATCAATTATTGAGCAACATAGGGACACCCCCCCACCCCCCCCCACCCCCAGTATCTAATTCTGTTACTGTGACTTTTTTGGTTAGGTACACAGACCCTCATAGAAGGACTATGTAAGGCATGTATCTTCAGTCTGGGAAGTGAGATTGGCAAAAACTGGTCAAGTTTGACGTTTGATAAAAGTTTGATAAAGGAGTGGGTAGTACTAATGGCGAAAGAACCAGTATCAAAGGTCCAAGTTAGGAATATTTAGGAATTTAAAATGAGATATAAACATATAGTGTGTTTTTACAGTATAAATTTTAAAAGTAAAATTAGAAGAAAATTTTAAATTAGCATCTAAAAAACTAAATTAATAAAATTTTCTAGTTAAATGTGTGTTGTTTTTTTTCCTTTTCTTTGAGTAGTCATTAGTATGATTTCTTTTGTAAAAGACTTTCCTATTTTTCTTTTTTTTTGCTTGATCTCTCACTTGCTACTTTGTTAGCTGTGTAAGTATGTAGACTTTTTCTGCCATTACCTTTTTTCTGTCTTCAAGAGAAGCAATTGTTCAGATACAGTATTCATTTTTAATCCTGAACTGACCAAAAATTCATTTGAAATTCCAAGTTAATAACAACCCCCTTCTAACCTGTAATAATAAAATACAATTAATTATAATGCATACTTCTTCCTACTTAGGCCACAGAGGGTTACCTAATCCTGTGCTAGGTAGCTTTCCCAGCTGCCTAGCCCTGTGTCATTACCTTTAAGAGTCTAATGCTCTAACTCATGTACAAGTCACACCCCCTGAAATCTATGATTCAGCTAATAACTTAGAATTAGAACGCACTTTCATTAAAAAAAACCATATCTCCTATTAATACTTTTAATTCTATCCTAACTTTAGTTTCTGTGAAATATGTTACAAGGTTGAGTTCATATTGGAGATAGAATCAGACAGAACTGCTGCTGCTTCTAGTGAGATGGAAAGAAATTAATACGGCTATGAGACGTCAGGATGGTTTTGCTGGTCTAGGAGATAGGAAATAGAGTTAATGAACAAAACAACATATATAAAATCACAGCACAGTATTACTAAACATAGAGAAAAAATAGAATAACGACAGAAATTCACATAATCATATTTACTTTTTTTTTCCTTTTATTGCCTCTTTAACAACATTAGTACTGAATCAAACAAGCAAAAATAAACATACTTATTCTTTTGAGATCTGTGTACAGGAAGGGCTACATGACTGCTATTAAATATAAATCTTAATTTCAGATTATTTAATTTTATAAGATATACTGAACAACATTAATAGATATACATGTATTAGTCAATGTATTTTAGAAATAATTCAGATATTTCATTATAGTAGTTTAATTTTTGCAATTGCTCAATGAAATAAGTGTATGACAAAATTTATAAAACTGCTGCATTACAACAGTATATACTGAATATGGCATTACAGTTTTTTTATGAATAAGGTATTCTCCAAAAGAGATTGTAGAAGCTAGCCAAGACCCAGACATCCACTGACAGAATAATGATAAGTCTGTGTTGTAGTTATATACTAAAATAGTGTGTCTCTCTGGTGTTTTAAGATAATTTATTAATTCACAGCATTGATCATAACTTCTATCTATCATTTTTAAAATTTAATATTGAGTGATTACAGTTTTTGGCTGCTGGCTTCCGGTTAAATAGGCATGAACTGTGTGTTTAAGAACATTCACGATGATTTCCTATGCTTATATTATGTTCAAGTTCCAAACATAACTCTGCATTCTAGGCCCATCTGGCTGACATTGCCAAGATCCGTCTTAATTTACTGGCTACAATCAGTTCTCAGTTTTAGATAACTTCTTCAGTTGTCATTACATGTTCCCATATACGTTCAGTTATTTAAGGAAGTTTAGAATAAAAATGGATAGCAGCTTATCTGGTTGGTCTTTTTGAACTGGAAACTAGATAAGTAGCCATTAAATGAAAGGTGGTTCGATGGAAGGAGATAAACATCAAGTTATTCTTAACTTGATGCCAACATGTGGAAAAAAAAAAAAAAAAGATTTATTATAAAGAATTCTAAAGTGTAAAGTTTGGAGAAGGATTCTCATTTGCATGTTACTCTCTGAATATGGGATTTATTTTTTTTCCCCAATGTCTATTAAAAATATTACTGTATTAGTTCTGGAGGAAATATTATTGTTATGGTTATATTATTTTAGCAGTGCACACATAACTCATACTGACATTAATGGAAGTTACGCATACATGTTAACAGTAAAATGCAGCATGTGTTCAAATCCATCATTTTGCCTAATTGTCTTAATGCTTTGTGCTCTTACTATCTCTGAGTATAAAAAAGCTCGTCACTTTTTATTTTTTAATAAGTGATAGTTTAAAAAAAATAATTCTGTATTGCATCGTGTGACAAAAGGCATGTTAATGTTTTTTAAAACTGTATTTATCATCCATAGAAATATTTAAATTTAAAAACTGGTAGGTAGAAATATATATCAAGACTACTTTTTCCAGACATTGTTTTTGTTTTCTGAGAGTCCGCAAGAAGGAGCACAACCTACTGAGAGCTTCACAAGGCTTGCCTAGAAAAGCTTATTCATTTTGTAATATGAAGAGTTTGAGGGTAGGAGAAGTTTCTGTCCTGTGATGTGGTGGAGGTTTTTTCAGACATTTCAGAAATGCCATATTTGTGGAGCATACTTTCATGACCACAAGGCATCCACAATGCTTTCATACAGATGTCCTTTCCTATATGGTGGTTCATTCCAAAACTCATAAACCTGCTTGTAACAAAATTAGATAGCTGTATAGGTAGATAAATGAGTATTTATATAATATTGAAATTGCTTTATATATGTATGTGAAATAAATGCCTGTCCTTATGGAAAGTGGATTTTACTCTATGGGATAGATAATCTTTTTAGAAATTGTCAAAATTATTTTCCCTTTAAAGATATAAAGTTTGACCTGCAGAGCCAATAGTCATAAAAGAAAGTCTAATGGCATGTGAGGGAAAAGATATAAAAATTATTACCACTTTTTTGTTAGTTCAACTTTTAAATTATATGCATGTAGTCTTCAAGCTGCAACCACTGAAGTTAAAAACAAAACAAAAAAAACCAACCCCCACAAAACCCCCAAAACTTTGTTTATAAATACTTGGGGTTTTCTTGGTTAAAAGCCCTGAAATTAACTTTCTGTGGTGTTAACTCTACTTAGAAATATATTTAACTACAAGATTTTTTAAAAAAAGGAAAGTTATTTCATTGTGGTTTTGCATTAATTTGATGATCTTTCGGTGACTTAGTTGCATGTGATGAACATTGCACTTAGTAGTGAGTGACCGTGGGATTAATCCTCAGAAAGACTGATCTTCATGATTTGACTTGAAGATCTGTGAATTCTTGATTTTTGACATCCAACTGTTAATTACTTAGTGTTTCCTTTAGCAGTCAACTCAGTACACTCAGTGCTCTGAAGCTTTCAGAGTATCCTGAATGAAATTCTTGCCAAGAGTTTGAAAGGCAGTTTCCTTGCCTTTGATAAGAGTTCATGCCATCACCAGTGGGTATTGCTAAATCAGTTTTGTTGGAAGTGACTTTGCCCTGAAATTCACTACAAATTTCCGGAAGAATATGTATTTTCCCGTAAGTGGAATAAATCAGATTACTTCAGTAACGAAGCATTAAAGATCTCCTAATAAAATAACCAGCTACTAGTCGTTTCATTCAATAACAATGGTAGAACATTGCTGTGCT